TAAAAAATAAATAACTTTCTTCAACAAATTGAATATAACAATTTTAAACATGTTTATTAAATATATATTTCTCAATCATCAACAAATTCAATACTATTTTCAGTATCATTGTTTATGTGGTTGTACATAGTAGAATTTATCATGCCTAGCATAGTTTTTGTTATTTCTATTTTATGGCATTCAGTTTTTTTGGTGTATTCTTTGGCACTTAAAATGCCATTTAAAGTTTTGGTGTTTAAGCAGTTTCTTTGTTTGGTTTTAATTAAATTTATTTTAGAAAACATGCGTTCACACGACACATTCGATTGAGGCAAAGACAGAACAGTTAATAAAAAATTTGAAACATCTTTAAATGGATATTCACCATCTTTTTCAAATACCTTAAGTTTAATCCAAAAGTCTTCAACATTTAAATTTAAAAGAAATGCATGTAATTCGGGATCAAACTCTATAACACTGAACATTCTCCAGCTGGTATCAATATTTTGGTGATTTTGTTTTATTCTTGGGAATAACTGAATAAAACTAATTAGAGAAGCAGGTCGTTTATCACTTAGGACTTTTGCAGGTGTAATATTTTCCAATTGCATTAATACTGGGTCATTGAAATTGAATCGGGCTCTTATTTCCTTAATACTAATAATTAGAAATCTCATGCAGTGCTCTAAGACATCTTGCACCATAACATGGTTCTTTGCAACTTCGGGTGTTTGTAACATATTCATAACGTCAATTCCTAAATACATTTGGTTTAATGGTAGAAAGTATGATGAATTGTTTGGATCGACTGATAAAGGATTGTTACACCGTCTCATATACGAATAAAGAATATCAGTATAAGTTACAGACATTTTACTAAAAACCAACCATATAACTGGTTTGTCACTCTGAAATAGTTTATTGAGGTTTACAAATTTTGGAAGGATCCATTGTAGGAATTTAAAATAAATTAATACAGAAGGATCATGTAAAGCATGAAAAATGTTTTCTGAAGCTTTGAGTTTATCTTCAAGCCAATGAGATGAAAAAAATAATTTTAGTGCAGGCCATTGCTCAACTATTCTATTTACTACCATACTCAATGAAAGCCATCGGGTCTGTGCTGGTCTTAAAATTTTGTGAGGTGATATATTGCAAAAGTCTTGAAATTGCTTAAATTGACTTACTCTTTTACAACTTGATTTGAAATAATTATAAATATCCCTGGCAAGGTCTTCACAAGTACGTGGTAAAGCTTTGCATGCAGCGCTGGCGCATAAATGGAGCGAGTGGCAAATACATTTTTGAATATAAATCCCTGCACAATCAAAACAATTTTTGAATATTAAAATCTACATCATATTACAGTATAAATTAATGTATTACCTGGCAAAAATTCATTTAGTCTAGATGTTACAGAATTTGATGCACCAAACATAGTGTTGCAACCATCTGAAGCAAATCCTACAAAAAATAAAATAAATAGGTGATAACAATATAATTTAATAAATTAACAAATAATAAGTTGTTTCTAAATAAAATTTCAACTCAGTTACCGATTAAATTATCCAACGGAATTTTAGAATCTGTGAAAGCTTTAAGAACTTCATCAAATATTTTTTGACCAGTAGCTCCTTTGTCTGCACTTTGTACATCCTCAAACAACTGGACGAGCTTGAAAAATCTTGTTTCGAAAAAATTGGATGTACTGTCGAAATACTTTACACATATGCACATTGTTTTCACACAGCCAACATCAGTGCTTTCATCAATTATCACACTGAACATTGTGTTTTGCAAAACATTAATAAGTTCTTCAAGAGAATAATGTCCAATAACATTAGATACAAGAGCTGTTGATTTTGTACGAGCCAATGATACATTCGAACAAATTTTTGAGTCCGGGAATGCTGCCTTACATGTTTTTACCAAATGATCGCTAATATTGAATGGTAAATTATGTTCACTTATAAAACTACAAAGTACTACTTCAGCTCTTTTAGTTTGATCTACTAACTTAAATTGATCTGTGTTATTTAAAAATGTACTTATCGAATTTTGTCTACTACCAATGGAACTCATCGAACTTTTGTGTTTTTTTGTTTGAGCATGTTTTTTAAGTACACTCAATTCAGCAGTCATTTCTGTAATACATAACTTACACTTAGCTAATAACTTATTATTATTGACTGGCAACAACCAATTGCTAAAATCTTTATTTGTTAACCATTCTTGTCTAAAGTTTTGTTTTTTGTGAGAATAGGTCTTGGAACTTTCTCCTCGTTTCCGTTTAGTTTTTTCTGGCGTCGAACACCTGTCACTTTCGTTTCCGCTCATCACGACAATTCGATAAAATTATCACTATATTAAAATACCTATAACAAAAAACATTAGATTTTTTTTTTCGTAGTAGTTAATCGGTACCTAATCAATTTTATAAATAACTTAGAAACCCACAACGGCCACAACAATGTTCTAGGAACAATACCTCAAGGCTCAGAACAATAATATAGTCATAATTTATATATTTATTTATAGCCATCATAATTGGTTTCATAGCTGCTGGTAACGTGTACAATAAAATATGGACTATGAAGTCGAGCCGACGATTGCCGACGAGCAATGACCTTATGCCGAGAAAAGATAAAATTGTTTTAAATATTTTTTTTTTGAATTTTTCCATGTTTAGAATAAATTAATTTTTACTATTAAAATATCGTATTTTTCATGACCCATCAAAGGGTTTGATGGGGGATCGTACTTGCCACTAAATTATAGTATTTCCCCACCATGATCGTACCATTTGGCAGCACTGTAACTGTATAAGCCTTCAGAAAATTAGTGTCACGCTACGGGCCCACTATAAACTACGTCGATATCTAGCGGCCAATAAAGCAACTAATTTGTTTATTTTTAAATACATATTTGGATCAACATTCATAATATTATATAATAATTTATATATTTTAATAATACTCAATACTGTATGTATTTTATACATCCGCAATAAAAATATATTTAACCTTTTGATTTAGTAAATTAATTATTAATTATTCCTATATCCTATTCTATTGTTTTATCCTATTAACTATCTTTTGTAACTAAATTGAATATGGTACAGTTTTGTTGTTTTCCCCATTGTGGGTCAAAAAAGGGAAAAAACATTTCTTCGTAAGTAGTATTAAAATTATACATTTAATCATTTATAAGACAGTTGTAGGGAATATGTATGAGTACTATACCTATATAATTATAATTATTAAATTGTAATTTGTTTAATTAATTGTAGATTTGGATTTCCAAAAGAAAAAATTGTTTTTGATAAATGGGTTTCATCATTACAGACCATTAATAAAAATTATATATATACAATTTCACATAGGCTATGTGAATAATATTTCAAATCTAGCGATATCGTAGGAAATTGTATAACTACAGTAGGTTTATATTTATATTTTTTAATTTATTTAATAAGTAGATCACAACTTATTTTATTTTTCTTATTATTAAGCTACAGAGGGAGCGTACAAATTTGAAATCAGGTGCTATACCACAGGTACGAAATTTCAGAGAAATAACTTAAATTAAATATACTGAGTAGGTAAATACTAAATTAATTATTTTATTTAAGATTGATATCATGGGGAATAATTTAAAACATTCTTTTAAAAACAATACTACATTCAATGAGGACATGTTACCATCAGCCGACATTAATAATTCTGAACCATGGTGTCACGTAAATACATCGCGGTAAATTTGTCGTGGTAATTTGGGCGTCGGTGTAATATCGTCGCACGTAATTTCGGCGAGTGACGATACATGCCTTATGTATAATATTTTATACTTTATTATAAATACCTAGTTTAAAAACAATATGCATAACTTATTGGCAAGTATAAAATATAATTTAAGTCAAATAAGTCAAAATAGTTTAAAATTTTAAAAATATAAATTAAATTGTTCCACAGATAGCTAATAATAATAAAAACAAAAATGTATACAAACAAAGTTCTAAATTATAATTGCAACTTTAAATTAACAGCTATCCCATGTAAATAATTTTGAATATTAGTAATATTTGGGTCAAATGTTGAGGTTAATTTTCGAATACTAATTGCAGAATCTTTATATTTTTTTTTTTTAGGTAATGATATTCGAGAAAGTAACTGTTCGACTTTAAAAAAGTTTATATACTATTTTCTTTTTTCAACGCATTAATAAAAATTCAAATAGATGGATGAACTGAATTTAACAACGAATTGAAACAATTGTGCCAGCCTTCTACAGCATTATTGGTGCGTGGAATATCTTTTTCAATTAAAAAATAACAATTCCCTATTGAAATAGGAAATAGTGGAGGTGTTTTTCGTTCTCTTATATTAACTTATATTACATTATAATTTAAAACGATCATAATTTAGATATCCGACGATATCATTAAATTGACGCGATCTAATACAAAACGACTATATGACGCAATAATATTACACCGCGACCAATTTACTGCGCCTAAATTCCCGCGCTCAATTTATCGCGCCCAACTTACTGCGACCAAATCACATGGAACCCTGAACCATGGCATTTAACACTTAAGCGAAGTTCTACTCCAAGAACGTATTCTGCACATAAGAATAAAAATACATAAAAATGATTCAAATGATAAGGTTAGAACTTTAATATAGTAACAATAGAGAAGTACATGTGTATTGCATATGTGTGTGTGTTCAAACATCAATAATTCAACTAATACAACTTGTTATTTATATACAAAATAATTATAACTATGTTATGCAGTTAAATATTTCTGTAGACATACCACAACATGCATCTTCGGGTACTATAATATATAGATAATGTATTTTCATTAGACACTGATTCTGGGTATTATGATTCAACTCTATCTCCAATAATCCAACAAAATCCAATGGTTGAGACTGAAACAGATATTTTTCTTAAAATTTACAATAACCTTCAAAGTTTTTCATTACCAACCAATTATAATTATAAAAAATGATTAATGGCAATATGAATGTTGTAGCATTTTCTTCTTTTCTGTTTCAGACCATTTACAAATGGTTGTACCTTATAAACAAATTATACTACATAGTAATTTTAATATTGAAGCAATTGTTGTTGGAAAAAAATATGCTACCTACTCGTCTACTATAAAATCGGTACTTGTTTGTTATCGCCCCGCCAGTACACCGTATACAATTTATCGCCCCGCCACTCTTGTTTGTTATCGACCCTCCATAAATAAAAAAAATTTCAATGTATAATATTATTTTATTTTAATAGTTTTAAATATATAAATGTTTAGTATAAAATTGAAATTAAAAAATGTATAAAATATAAAATATGTATAAAAATGTAAAAAATATATTATGAATCTATAGTTATAATGGAGGCCAGAATTCGGAAATATCTTTGAGGATAGTTTCAAATGCGTCTTGTTCTCCGAGACGTGTTCTCCACATAAACTCTGCCAAATATGATTCTAGAAAATTTCTGTTAGTTCCACGACGCTTTTTATTGCCCCATTTAGCAGAACCCCACAACCTCTCAATATGTTGGGTGTGAGCCCCTGTGTCCGGATCGACAAAATTATACGTGTGGTTTACAGTATTATGTTTGAATCCCACTTGCTGCAAATTATTGTAAGCTTTCCAACAATCTGACAAAATTATTGAGCCTGGTCTTATATATCTTTGTATTATAGGTAACAAAGTTTTCTCCGATCGATCTGGTACACTGATTATAAAACACGCTTTAGTTTCCCGACATATTCCACCAAAAATCCATTGTTGTGGCAGAATAAGCCCAGCATTATTTTTTCTACGCACAAATAAACTTTCATCTATTTCAACAAAAAGACCGGGTCCACCAATTTCTTTATTTTGATTATTTTCAAGCTTCCATACACATACCTCACGTAGATAATTACTCCAATCAACCACAACATTTTGTCCCATATTTAATTCACGTTTACAAAATGTTACTGAAGACATTTCTCGGGCCCAGTAGTATATGAAATGGACAATTGTGTGTATTGGAAGTCTAGAGCCAGTTAGCCAATTATTAATTCTTAATCCTTTTTCCTTTCGGCAACTTCTTTTCTGACATCGCCATCGCGATCCCTTGATAAACATTATATGGCCATTTTCACACACTTCAATAACTTTAATTATATTATGTTTTTGTAAAAAGCTAATTACAGTATCACTGTTTGAAACAATTGTAAGTAATTCAGTAAAATTCATAATTTAATTTAATTTTTCGAATTTCTCAGTAGTAGGTAATAAGTAAATGAAATAGTAAACGAATGCCAGCAAAGAACTAATATCCTATATCATAAAAATGATAAAATATACTTTTCTCATTTTCTAAAATAGATCACAAACGATTAGCAATAGCGATAAATTGTATGCGATGTACTGGAGGCGCGATAACAAACAAGTACCATAAAATCAACAGAAGTACTGTCCAAAACAATTATGAATATAGAAAAACAGTCAGTATGTAAAGGTTTTAATAATATTTTATTGTCCTCTGTAAGTACAAGTCCTTACACTAAAGATATTTTTGGAACAGTTCGTCATACAAAATGTTCATTATTATTAGATAATGTGTCTGAAACAGAAAATACATTATGTTCATTTTGTAAACGAATTAAAACCAACGAAAGGCAAAAATCTAAATTCTAGATCAGAAAACTTGATTAAATATAAGAAAAGAATAAACATGCAAGTTAGTCCACACAGTAAATCAAAGTTATTATTCCTTCGTAAATCCATGTATAATTGTCGTAAGAAACAAAATAGTGCAGAAAATCGTTTAAAATTATTAGAATATGAACTACATGATTGTAAAAATAAAATAGAAAATATTGATTCATTTAATGATCAGAACTTACCAGAGTCTTCTAGAGTTGTTGTCCAAGAAATTTTTAAAGCATCTAAGTATCAAAATAAAAAAATAATGCGTTACTCAAAAGGCTATATCCTATGGTTTCATATAAGATCAGCAAGTGGTTATAATTTTATTTTAAAAAATGATATATTACCTCTTCCTAGTCCAAGAACATTGCGTCGATATTTAAGTGTTATATATACAAAATTTGGATTTGATTCCAATTTTTTTTCCATCTTTGAAAAACATATTTCATCAAAAGGAGAATTACAAAAACATGGTATAATACTGTTTGATGAAATGTCAGTAAGAGAATCATTAAGTGTTTGCTCAACTTCACTAACCTATAAAGGTTTAATAGATTTTGGTAATGATGTTGAACACAATTTCCCCAAAGCAAGTACTATTAAAGTTAAAGCTAACATGGCATTGGTTTTTATGTTTCAACCATTATGTGGTAATCACACCCAGCCAGTGGCTGTTTTTGCTTCAAGAGGACCCGTTCATGGAACTGTTCTTGCACAGCTGCTACTGAAGTGTATTATACTAGTAGAAAAAGCGGGGGCTAAAGTTCATGGGTTTGTATGTGATGTGGCAACTACAAACAGAAAATTATGGTTAGAGCTTGGAATAAATGGAAAAATGAATGAGCTCAATAATAGTTTTATTCATCCATTAGATACAACTAGACAAATTTTTGCATTTTCTGATACCCCACATCTTATAAAAAATATTAGAAACCGTTCGAACAATAAAAAACAGTTAAAGGTATTTATTATATTTTAAACAATACAATTATTCTATTAATGGTTGTAACAATTTTTACCTCCTGTTTCAATTAGTTAAGTGGACAAAACGATCCAATTAAATGGCATTTCTTTGAAAAATTGTATCACACCGAAAAAGAAAATCGAGGTCTAGTTAAAGTATGTCCATCTATCACAAAAAATCATGTTTATTTAAATTCATTTTTAAAAATGAAAGTAAAACTTGCAACTCAGGTATGATTGTTATTGTTCCTAAAAATTATTTTTTAATTAATTATTATAGTTACATGTATAATATGTTTGTTGTATACTAATGTCTAATATAATTGTATACATTTATATAACTTATTTGTATTTTGTATTTTTGTGTTTATTGTCAATAATTTTTTAAACAAACATTGAGTATCCACATGGTTAGTAGGTAAGTATTAGATCATTTCAATGTCCAAAGTTGATACAAAAAAGTAGGTATTATTTTAATATATGCATATTATCGTATGTAGTATTATTAACTAAGAGTACAATCTAAATTAACATATTTATCAAAAGTAATAAAATTAACTTACAAATGTGTTTGGAATTATGGTGTTAACTAATTTGTATGTGTTTCCATAGAGGTGATAGCTTCTTCATTTATCAACTGGTAAATTGTTTATAAATTATTATACTACAATAACTTATTTACAATTTGTTTGATAGATATTTAGTGAAACAGTAGCAACTGCACTAGAATATTATAAATTGAAGAACTATCCAGAATTTAAAAATAGCGATGAAACAGTAAATTGAAAATAAATTGCTTATTTGATTCACTGAATAATTTAAATCCATACCATGGTTTGAGTGTTGACGCTGAAGGATGGAAAGTAAACAATTTACTTATGTCCTATACTATAATAAATATATTATTGGAATATATATTATATTGATTTATAACTAGAAAAATAATAATTACTTTTCATATTTTAGAATATCACGTCAAGTATAAAATGGCTTGATGATTGGGAGATGGCACTGAAAGAAGGAGAGATAACTGAAGAGGAATTTCTGCCACCCAATACATCACAGGGCCTTAGAATAACTATGAGTTCTATGCTTGACATGACATTATATCTAATAGATAAATTTGATTTTAAATATATTTTAAGTGGCCTTATTAACCGAGATAATCTTGAGGTTTGATAATTCTGTTTAATCGCTCAATAACTAAAATCAATAATATTAAATTTGGTGGCACGTAAATTCGTCGCAAGTCAATTCATCGCGCGTCAATTTATCGTAATCAATTTATCGCGACGTCAACTCATCGCGACGTCAATTCATCGAGAGTTAATTTATCGCATATAGGTATATAATATATTATGTAATATTTTTAAATCCAACATTTTCCTTCCCATTTTAATACAGACTTAGGACTGTCTACACATTTACTTTTTTATGTAGGTATGGTTAAAAATGTTGTCTTTTTTTTAGAAAGGTCTGTCATTATTAAAAGTTATAAATAGAATAAAATTGTAAAAATTGTATAATGTATAAATTGTGAATTAAAATGTATAAAACAATGTATAATACACTTATACTTGCAATTGGAAATTGTGTGCTATTCCTTGTAAATATTCATTAGTCGTTCTATTTTTGAAATCATAACAAATATTTTTCAAACACTGTGCTTTGTCAAAGTATTTTTTTTTTGCGGGTGGACGTTCGCCACCTATATATTGTTCAAGTTTTACTTTATTTATATTTTCTTCTTTTTTCAACGCGAATATGAATTTCCAAATACTTGGATGGCATTGATTTAAAATTGAAGTAAAACAATTATGCCATCCTTCTACTGCATTATTAGTTCTAGGTAAATCTTGCGAAACCAATGAATAGCAATTCCAAATTGAAATGTCAAATTTAGGTGCTCTTCTTTTTTGTCGTCTGTCCATGCATCCTATCCAAGTTTCTTCAAAATAGTTGAGGATCGGTGATAATAATTCAACATGTTCGGTAAAATATGTTGTCTCCAAAAGATTATTATAAGCATTAATTACCTCATTTTCAGGTAAGTAAGCTAAACTTGGTAACTTTCGTACTTGTAGTGCGAATATTACATCATCCTTATATCTCGTTTGAAGACCTGCATCTTGAATTTGTCGCCATATACACTGTGAAAAATGAAAAAAGCATCCTTTTACTTCTGTTTCTGGAAATTCATAATTTATCGCGTTCATCGCAGCTTTTTCAAAATCAACCATGATAGTTTTAGGACATAATCCAGTAGTAATACTTTTTAATGCTTGAAACATACGTCTATACGTTTTTTCTTTTTTATCGGGTAATAAGACGTAAGCTGATGGTAAAACATTTGAATATTGTACTGCATGAATAGTATAAACTTGATAAAATAAAGTTGGAGCACTTGAAAATGTGCCATCACAAAACCAATTGTTGCATTGCGTCATAAGTTTTAATAAATTTGTTGTTGAAAAAATTAAAATTCTGTCTGTATTAATACCACTGTCATATTGTAAAAAAAGATTACCGTCAGTGGTTTTTGTCATCTCGTCAGGTATACTAAAATTGAAATCGGTTGGCTCTTTTGGGAATTGAAGTTGTTGTTTACGTAGTCGTTGTATAGTACGCTTGAGTCTATGAATATTAGGTAACTGAGCCGCACATTCTGTAGGGATTTGATATAATGCTGTAGCTACTACAGAATGAGAACTTGCATCAACGTTATTGGTAGCTATTTCTTTTAGTAAATTTAGAGTTTTTTTAACATTAGTGTCTGTTGAATTCGGAACGTGGTTATGGTCAGTACTTTTTAATACTTTTCCATCACTTAAATGAACGCGTCCTCGACATTTGTTTTTAAAATATTGGTTACATTTCCATATTGATTTAACGTCACTTTCTTTTTCTTTTACGAAAATATAACCATTGAATGAAAGCATACTTTTTCCTCTTTCAGTTTTTAACATTTCAAAAGCCATAATTGTATAAAAGAAGGAAAACGCACTAACACAAAAACGGCGACGTGGCAATATAAATAAAGTTCAACAGTTGTCGATCGACTGGGGCATAAACTGGCCTAGTTAACACTCATCGTTATCGTAATGGAGATTATAATCAGCCACAGTAATAATATAACGTCATTCTAGGTTTTTCTGGAGTAGTTATTTAAAAATATAATATATATAAATTGACACACGATGAATTAGTGTCACGATAAATTGACGTCGCGATAAATTTACGGCACGATAAATTGACCACGATGAAATGACACACGATGAATTGACTCGCGATGAATTGACGTATTTTCATTAAATTTTTTGGCACTATTCGAGCTGCAGGTGGACAAAATGACCATCCAGCAATGCTAAATTTTCAACATATTTATAAAATGTTGTCAGTTTATAGCATTTTGAAACCGCCAAAATCAGGAAACTGTACTGTTATGGAACATAATAAAAATCTCATTAGTTTAGAAGAGTTAAAAAATATATTTAATAAGTCAAAGATAACAGCAATTGATCTAATAAAAGAAAAACTCAATGAACATCTTCTAAACATAGATGACATTCATGAAATAGAAGTAAGAAAATTTCAAATTTGACAATGAAAATATATGCAGTAGGAACCTTACCTTCTAACTTGGAAATCTGTCTTTAATCATAGGTTTTTGATATCATGTCGGAATCTTCTAGTCCATTTAACTCTACAGATGTTGTTGATTGTATTATTTATTATATTGCCGGATACTTTACAAAACAAGTAAGTACCTATCATTAAATTTAATCTTAAATCAGTTAAATCTAAAATTCATCAACAAAAAAAAAACCAACCATCTTCAGTAGGTCATGCAGGATAAATTATTATTTCACTATTTTTTAACTGTTTTAATCATAGACATATAAAGAGATGGACTGTGCTTAGAGAGAGAGGTGTCAAGCCATCATTGTTAAAGAGAGAAAAATATATACTACAGGTTGGCATGGAGTAAACGACATATGTAACTTTATTATTCCATATAAAAATTATAGTGATTAGTGATTGCAATTTACAATCAAAATAAATGTAAACATTAAATAAAAATATAAAATAATTTAATGATACAAATTTAAAAAAAAATTATAATCGTTCCAATATTGTATATTTGTATGTGCTGTGTAAGTAATAACTAATAATTACTAATTATTAATTAATGACATAATATTATAAAATATAAATTATAATTGTCAACATCAATGTTTAATATTATAATATATGATTAAACTATTTATATAATTAAATGAAAGCAATACATTAATAGACAATAATTTAATGCCTAGGTACAGTATATATTTATACAAAATACTATTAATTCCTAAAATGTATAGTTTTTGTCAAATGCGATCTAATTCTTTCCCTGGGTTCACTATTACTATTATTAAAGTGATGAAGCCTAATTGTATAAAATGTTTTTAGAGTGATTTTTATAATTTGAAGTAAATGATTATTCAATGGAGATTGATCTAAAATGTGGTCCGAAATTTGATTAAAAAGTTTATTAATTTGTAATTTTGATGAAGCCTTTATGGTATATATTGAATTATATTAGATTTGAAGGATGATAATGAGTGTTGATGAGATCTAAAGACTAATTCAGCAGTCTTGCATATTAATACAATATCTTCTGAAGGTTTAATCAAACCACCTCTATTTTTAATATTTAGTAATGTATTATTTAATACATTATGACCAGTATTGGTCAATACATTTAAACATATATGGCATGACACAGTTCTGAGCAATTATCGTGTAATAAACCCACTTATATATTCAATTACATTATTCATATATGTCAATTCAGTGCTAGTGAATACTTCAATATTTTCTTTCAAATCATCATTGTCATCTTCAACACATAAAATATCTAAATTGTCAACTAATATTTTGGATTTTTTAGATGAACGGTCAGTTAATATTGGTGTATAATCTTATACAGTACAGTTGGCCTGAGAAGATACTTTTAATTCTACATGTACAATCAAACGTTTGTAAGCTGCTTCAAACTGAGTAGGTGTAGGGTTATTGTTAAACCCATCCATTGATCTAATATTTGAGTATAATAACTCCAGATGGTCTTGAGAAACCTTATAAGTTAAGAAAAAATCTAAAACTTTTGTCTTTATTACATCATAGTAAAAATTCTCAACGCTTGTTAAACATACAATAAGTCCAACAAACCCTGTCTTCCTAGTACTTTGCACAAGTGGCTGTGATTCACCTTTAACTATAACTGTAAGTCCTTTTAAATAATTAATAGACTCTTAATAAAATGTTTGATATTAAGCTCATCATTTATCTTTAATGGCTTTTTGTATGTTCCTTTACTTAAGAAATTTCTTGTGTTAAGAAAATCAAAGGTGTTATTTATAGTCTTACAAAATATTATGGTCGAGTCAACATTATCAAAATCTGCAAGTTTCAATACTTTAGAACAAAATTCAAATGCATCTGCAACGCTATTACTAAAGGTTTGACAGGCCAATTTCACCTTCATTTTTTCCTTATAGTAATTGATATGGCGTTGTCTAATTTTGCAGCCCGCATGAAGATTTGACTTTTCCTGAAGATCTACTAACTTTTGAAAGTAATTCCATTTTATTATATTTTTATTGTGGTCATACAGTTCTTTCCAGTCTCCTAGAGTATTATGACATAGCTTCAACATATGAGCTGGATCAAGAAAAATATGAATTTTTTCATTTGTTACAGGGCGGTCAAAAAAAGGTTTTATTTGAGATAATGATAAGTTTGCACCCAAACAATTAGCCATAGAAATATTTGTTGCGGCTCCATCAAATGTCAATGTTTTCACACAAACTCCAGTATCATGAATATTAGAAAGAGTCGTATTCACTAAATTTGCCTTTTCTTGGGAGCTCATACCATTAATTAAAAAGTAAGCTACAGGTACTTTCCAGTGTGAATTTAAGGCTACTAATATAAAAACTAAAGTCTCTTTGGCTTTTGGTAAGCCATAAAAAGTCCCTATCTTTAATACCACAACTTATATAACCTTGTAACCTGTCCCCGTTATAATGTACATGTTCTTTCAGGTACATTTCGTCCATTATTTTGAGTTCGTTGTTAGACTCCGTACAGACAACACGTTACTTATCGCGTTTCACGAGTACCGATTTTAATAGCTCTCGATAGCAGTATACTATACACGCACCATATCGCAGTGTTTATTGTGACTATAAATATGACGGTCTGTTCGAAGTGTCAAATATCAATTACTCGTAACGAGGTCAGTGTACAGTGTGATACCTGTAAAACTGTTTTGCATTTGATATGTTCTAATATGGACAATGAGAGCCTGGATTATCTGAAAACCAATGGTAAAAAGTTTAATTGCGAGAAATGTGTCAACAAAGCGAAAAACAATCGAAATGATGACACTCCGATTAAAGATGCTACAAAAACAAAAGTAAAACCTACATCAGTAGAGATTGACACATTAGCTATTATAAATAGATTAGATGAGGTCTTAAGAAATCAAGTAACTACAAACAACACTTTAACAGTACTTAATAATCGTGTAATTGAACTTGAAAAATCATTAAAAGAAAAAGACCAAGTTATTCATAGTCTGGAGTACAAAATTAAAGCATTAGAACAAAATGAAAAATCATGTTATGTTGAAATAAGTGGAGTCAAAAAAGAAAATGGAGAAAATGTTGAAGACTTAGTGCATGACATTGCAACCTCATTAGAAATTGATTTAAATATGTTCGACATCGAAAACGCGTATCGCAAACCTACATCTCGAAACCAGGACAAACCTTTAATAATTGTTGAATTAGCATCCAGAAGAAAAAGAAATGAATTCATGAAGAAGCGAGGTAAAATCGAATTCAACCACCAACGAATTTATATAAACGAAAGTCTGACAGCATTCAATAAAAAATTGTATTGGGAAACAAGAACCAAAGGAAAAGAACTGGGCTACCGATTCATCTGGACAAGTTATGGTAGGATATTTTGCAAGAAAGACGAACAAGGCAAAAAAATGCAAGTAAAATGTATAGAAGACTTAAATTTTTTATAATAACGTACAACAAATTATTCTTTATTTTTTATTTTTTTTATACAATAACAACAGTTATACATATTCTATACGTTTTAATAATTGGGAATACAATTTTAATTCATTTTATAATAGGGCAAATTTATAATATCGTAATACTTTTTTTAATAACATTTTTACAACTTACCTTACACCTACTAACATATACAATTTTGTCTAAAAAAAATGTAAATGGGTTTATTTTAACTATACATAAATTCATAAATATGGGTTTTCTGCTTATCAGCAATTATATAATTTATTATCTCTCATGTCATCGCACGGTAACATTAAGCGTCTATTTAGGTCAAATGTTTCTACTCATATTACAAAAATTCAAAAAAAAAACAATATTATGTCGATTAGACATTCGTCAATTCTACTTAATACTTATATTATACACACACACTCTTACCAAGGTTTCATAATTATAATAAATATCAACATAATAATATATCATTGGTATAGACTAAGATACTACTTCATATACCTAATATAATAAATGATTGAGACAAACTCAGACTTTATAGACTCTTATATCACGAATAATGGCAATATAGTTAACAAAGACTTATATGAGTATTTGATGGGTATAGAGAATTGCAATTTGAACGTTTTACATATGAATATCAGATCTTATAACCGCAATATAGACGAATTTTGGTGTATGATAAACGACTCTATAAAGTACTTGGACATAATTATTCTCAGTGAAACTTGGAATAGCACGGGGTTTACTCCCCAAAACATAAGCGGGTTTTCGAGTTATAAAAGTGAAAATAGTTTCAATCAAAATGATGGAGTCATAATATATACGAACAATAAACACACTATATCTGTTAATCAATTCCAAATGTTCTCAGAGGCGAGTTGTATACAATTAAACTTTAAGGTAAATAATAAACCAATTACAATTTTAGCCACATATCGTTCACCACAAACTAATATCAAAATTTTCTTATCTGAACTAGCTACTATATTGACTTCTGGTCTTGTACAAAAGAATTGTATATGGATTGGAGATATAAATATTGACATATTAGAAAAAAATCCTTCTCTTATAACCGAAAAATATTTAAATATACTATCGTCAAATGGTTTTACTTCTAAAATGTGTACACATACTAGGGTGGGATACGACACTAAGTCTTGTATAGACCATATATTTAGTAGAAATATGAATCTCATTCCAGCTGTAATTAAGTCCAGCGTATAACAGATCATTTTACAATTATAGGTAGTTTAATAGACTCACGGGTAAATAACAAACCCATTGATAATAATTCAAATTTAACATCTTATATCGATTATAATAAGGCAGTTACCCGGGTAACATTTTAAGTTCACATTGAGTGCAGTAGGATATATTTCATGGTGTTTAACACGGTGATATTTCGGGTCAGGGCATGGTGTTTTGAGGTCACTTGAATACCGATTTTTAACATGGAAAACACTGTGCTCCTATTATGCTACGGTCGGTTCAAATACTATGCAAAGGTGTTTAATTCAACGGTACATTATCCATGTATAGGTCAGTTAAGACACAGTGCAAAAAGGTAAGTTACTACCGTTTATTATATGTGTAGTGGTTAGTTTGAACACGGTGCAAGCGTGTCACACATGACAGTTGATAAACCATGTATAGGTGGGTTATAACACGGTGTACTAGTAATTTTTAGTTAGTTTAATTTAAAATTGTGAAAATATTTTTATTTTTAATACCACCACTTTATTATTATAATAGGTTCATACATTTTAAATAGTTGAAAAAATAATGACAATTTTAATACTTGTACCTACTACTTGAATAATACAAAGGTGTACAAAATCTTTTAAGTTTAAACATTAAAATACTTATACAACTTGAAATAATAATTAAATAAATGTATATAAAAAAAATTATAGATAAATATGTTTAAAAAAAAAATCACTAAAACATTTGTACAACATGTAACAAATAATAGTGATATAAATTATTTAAAAAAAAGTTATAACAAAGTATGTAAATAATAGATATACAAATAATATGATTTAAAGCCTTACTTCAAGCTATTAAACACAAATTGTAAGATGTGAATTCAAAAAAATTATAATGTACATTATATAAAATTACAATGTACATAAATTTTTAATATTTGAAAAAAATAATGACAATATTAATACTTGTACTTACTATTTGAATTATACAAGGTAAATAAAATCTTTAAATATTAATTCAGAGTATTCAAATACTTATACAACTTGAAATAATTATATAAATATATATAAAACAAATTATAGAAAAATATGTTTAAAAAAATAAAGATCAATAAAATATTTCTACAACTTGTAAAATATAATAGTGATATAAATCATTTTAATAAAAGTTTATAACAAAGTATGTAGATAATAGATAAAATATAAATAATAGGATTAAAGCCTTTAATTCAAGCTTAAACAGAAATTGTTTGACGTGAATATGTGATAACAATAAAAAGAAATAATAGGTTTAAATAGGAATGTATACACTATACAGGTATTAATATTAGTTTATATAAAAGTACATAATTTGTATCATGGAATGTTTGTATCAATCTCTTTCATCAAAGCCAAGCGTTTAGGAGCATGTCGGATGTAGTTGTCAGCAACCTTATGAAATATTGCTTCATCACTAGGGGTTTGAATAAACCCTGATAGAGCTTCTAGAAAAATAATAAAAATGGAATCATCAATATTTTGTTAAGTTATTTAGTAGGTAATTACTATAATGTATGGTAAAATATACATAAAATAGATAGGTATATCTATATCATAGTGTTTTTTGTTTCAGTTTTAGTATAATTATAAGATAAACCTAAACATTCTACTATGAGGCATAAGAAGTATTTAAACTTAATTTAACCTACATAAAATATAAATGTTTTTTTTTTTTTTTTAAATAAAAAAATGTTGACTAATAAAAAGAATAATCCTAATTCAATATTTTACTTAACATGTTACTTAAATTTATAGGTAGGTACCTAGGAAAACAAATTAAGTTAATTTAAATTAACATTTCAGCGGAATTTGTAAAATTTAATTAACAAGATATAAACAAATTATAAAAACTATTCATGAAGAATATTAATGATTAGATATTTTGACAAAGGTATAATACAATTCAAAATTATAAAATATATAAAGAAGCTTACCATAAATTATACTAAATAAATGTAAGTCTGTAAATTTCTTTTTTGTTTTTCCCTTGTAACTGCACATACTTAAAGTACTGGATTCGAAACACACATCAACAGCTCCTCGCACAGCTGCACTTAAAGGCAATTTTCCCACTTTCAACAATATATAAGTTTTCTGAAAATTCAAATATTGTATGGATTAATTTATGCCAAACAAGAAATAGATAAAAGAAATTCTTGCTTTTCTAAAAGTGTTTATTACAAGTCATTATAACAGTTATAACACCAAAAAAAACAGTATCTATAATTTAATTGACAATGAATTATTATGCTACTAGCTAGTTAGCTACTATATAGTAATATGCATGTATTAGCTAATACAAATAGCTTACCCAATACTTAAATGTGTGTACTTATAATTTTAGGTGAGGTATTTAATTGTTAACATACTTTTTTGTCTATAATAAGCAAACTATCATAATAAATAAATTGATTAAGAATGTTTGTTTAAAAAAATGAAAAATAGGAATACTTCACTTACAAGTTCTTCTCTATATTTTATTGAATCAGCATTCTCGGTGGATAATAGATTTTCAAAGGTCTGTAGATCGTCAACACTTTTAATGGGAAGAAGTCCCATGAATGGAGATGGCAACTTTGGGAAAGGCATAGCAAGAGCACGAACACGTCGATCGACAGACAAAATAGATTCTAGTAGTTTAGAATTATTTTGAACAGCCGAGGAAATCCTGGCAAGTGATCCATTCATTAACAATATTTGGCTCATAATTTTTTCATCTTTCTTTTTCCCCTGTTCTTTTAATTTCAATATCTCATCTTTAAGGATATCAATTTTTGAAGAGAAACTTAAGTCTGAAATAATCAATTATAGTAAAAATACATTTTAACTATTTTATATATTGATTTTGTACTAACCATGAGAAACACTCATACTGGTAGTTAACAATTCATTATTATTTGAAACATTTATTGCTTCTTCTGCAGTAGGTTCATTGATGGTTTCTCGGCTGCCATAATTTGATGTTTCAGGGTCCAAAATAAAATCAGAAGTATCAGCTGTTGTCAAAAAATCAAATATGCCATTTTCTTGGTGTATATTATTTTGAGATGTAGTCATTAATGTACCAAACTCTTGATCAAGTGTACCTACAATAAAATAAGATAATATACTATATTATACCTATATTATACCTATATTTAAAATAATTCAAATCAAAAATTTAAGTTTAAATAAATTCTTATTATACTGATTATTATATTAAGGATTTTAAATGCTTACCATTTTCACTAGATTTTGAACCCGATGTTAAGAGATGATTATTGATTGTCGGCGATGAAGCACAGATAGGTTTCATTAAAGCTGAAGTAGAATGTACATTTGACAAGGGCAGATCATTGAAACTAGATGTTGATTCTGATGTTATTAGTTGTTTAGTTAATGGTGATGAAGCAGAAACAGGTTTTATCAAAGATGAATTTGACGGTACTTTTGGCAAAGGCAGAATTAATGTTCTTTTTACTTTTTTGTTAGGTTCTGGGGAGTACCTTTTTGTAGAACATCTTTTCCTGGGTTTTGACTTATATTGATCATTTTCATCAGGATTTTCACTTTCATCAGTACTGCCTTCAGTACAAGACCATGCCTTAGCAACTCGACGAGCTTGTAATTCATTATCTATAGTGTTAATTGAATAAAATTGTCTCTATCAAATACCTCGATTTTCCACAATATTTCATATCCATTAGTTTAAATTCTATTTTTCTTAACTTATAAGGTATACAATTAATACAACTCAAAGAATTCTGTGTTATCTAAACATATTTTTCTGCATACTTACTAAAAGGTCCCGCAACTTTTTTAGCATCATAAAAAATGCCATCATTATCATTTGGCTCGATGCAATCCAATATCATTTTTTTGATTTGAATACTTGATAAGTGTTTTATGGCCTTTTCCATTTTTGTAAATGGAAACCAACATTGGCTATCCTCCTTATCATGTAACTCAATGAACCACGAACAAGGAACATGTTGAACCTCGTCTGTTTTTAAAAATAAAACTACAATCCAAGACCTATATAATTATTAAAAATGTAAGAAAAATGAGAATAATATAATATAATATAATAATAATATGTTTAAATATAGATACACAGTATTAATTGGTAGGTACATAAAAACTTAATAATAATTAAATTTTATATATTTATTTTAAATTTTACCCTTAATGTTTGATGTAATATTATTTATTAATATTCATATATAGCATACATTGGTTATAAATTATAATATATAACTAACTAAAACTATTTACCTAATTAATCATAATAAATTAATAAATATTTTAATAAAAACATTTTTTAGGTACCTAATATACAAAAAAAAAGAAAATATTTTATAAATTTAACTGTTAAAAGTTTTATTTATTGAAAATTATTAAATATACATTATTAATGTAAAAAGGGTATAATGCATGATTTTCTATCATCCAAGGGAATATGAATAACTTTCTCTTTAATATCATCAAATGCCCATGATTTTAGATGACTTGTGTTACTTGCTTCATAGATTTTAAGTAACTGAGAATCACATGGTTTATTAAAAAAACTTGACAACTTTTCAAATTGCCTCCCAATGATGCATATTGTTGAGTTATCTTTACTACTAGTTGCAATATTTTCAACCAAAACGTAGGCACCACTAATCAATTTTATGCAACTATTTGCTTTATCCAATTTTAAAGAAAAACTCTCATTTTTCCAACCAGTATATTGTGGCTCACATACATCTGGCAACATAGGTCGGTTTTGGTTTACATTTTGCAATTTAATTGGACCATAACATGATTCTTTAGACTGATTTGTTAGCATATAACTACTATATGCACGCTTTTCAGCATATCGTCGCGCTAACTGTTGTAAAGGTCTTACACCAGTCTTAATTTTTTTTTTTAGGGGTTGCATAAAACTTTCAAAGGGGAATGCAGAATAACAATTTAAAGAACCAAAGTGTTTCACATCTTCAGCTAAATGAAGAAGGGAATGTATATTATGAGACATATATATTTCACCATAAATACTTTTAAAAGATAGTACAAAATGTTGAAGTAATTGATTTGCATAATTAATATATTCATCACTTGAAGACTGAGTTGAAAGAATTCGAATAGCAACGAATAACTCTAAAAAATGATCATATACTTCATCATTTAAGAAGTTCCGGAAAATAATAAATCCTAAGTATAAAAGGCATTGACGTAGCTCTGTAGCCTTCCACCTACTAGCATCATGCAACGGATGTTTCCTACTATTTTCACTAAACCTCCTTTGAAACTCTATAGGAATATATACTGATAATTGATTAAGTTTAATGTCTAGAGCATTAATTAAAGTAGCAGGTAATGACATGTTTTGCTTATGTTTAGGAGCCCCAATCCAAAACAAAAGAAGTTTTTTCATTACACCAATGCATACACAGTGCATGTAATCAAAAGGAATAGATTTTACAAGATCAAAGTTGGGAAGTTCAGTTAAAATAGTTTTTCCATTATGAAAAATAGGATCTTTATAATTCATAAAATCATTGTGTGTCCGTGAAGGTGAACCAACTTCAGTGAAGCACACTCTATCAGTTACCCATTTTCCCACATTTTGGCATCTTACACAAGATACTTTTCCAGTATGTCCTTTGGTATTTAAAACAAATGACTTTGCCGGAGCATCACAAATTAAAGCCCGGATTTCAACATGAATTTTTTTATTATCAAAAAAGAAGCCATCAATAATAAGAACTTTCAGCTCTCGAACAAAGTCAAATAGAAATGTATTGCAATCAAGTGGTTTGGTTTTTCCATGATATGCACCAATTATGAATATGTTTGGCTTTTTGGTAGGTAAATTTGCAAAGTACCCAAGAATGGGCCATAACTGGCTAGGGGGGTTAGTAGTTACAGGAAGTCCGTCTATACCTACGTACAACCATAACACTGCAGGGATATTTTTATTATAAATAATTAGGTCTTTCAATTCTTCCTCTATACCAAAATGATGATAAATACCACCACCTACTTCCTTAACATTTGTTTTAAGAGGAGTTTTTAAAAGTGTTCTTGAATTTTTTGGGAGTTCTTTAAATTCTGGAAACTTTGAAAGACGTTTTAAGAGATCGGTAAGGGCTACATGTGTAATATTATGAGTAATAGCCCACATTGATATAGTCAATTTTAAATCAGGATTGTCATTAGAATCTGAAGATATTGATGAACAACTAATAGACTCAGATGCCTCATTACTTTCTTCAGATAAATGTTCTAGGCTCGTGTTATGAGAAACATGTGAGTTAGAACAATTCAAATTTGTCTGATCAACTACATCAGTAGTAGTGGAATAATTAGGAAGAGAAAGCACAACAGTATCTGTGTTTATTGATGAACTGTTAGAATGATATTGAAATTCATTATCATCTTCACTAACCAAAGCTTCTGATAACATAATAGAAGCTCTTTTCCTATTTCTGTACCGGGTGCTCTTACTAAAGTTTATATTACGTTTTGACATATTTATTTTATTTGATAAAAAAATAATAACGATCTTACATCTGAGAATATAGGGTAAAACACTTATTCAAGTCTTCAAGAACAGGACTCTAGAACATAAAAAAAAAATATATATATATATATAATAATGGAATAAAAAAAATATTAAGGTAATATATTGTATTCTATGTCGCTGTTGTTTTAATCTAAGTATATATATATATAGTTTGATATTTTTTTATTTTAATGAATTTGAAAAACAATATTGCATAATATTTTAAAATGAATTATTATTAATATTAATTATGCATCTACCTACATTTTATTAGTCATTCAAATATTAGACAAAATATATATTTTTATATTACTTTCATCGAGGAAGTTGTAATAAATAAATAAATAATAAAACCTCAAACCTTTGTTAAATACTAAAATATAATGTATAAAGTAGAATTTAAATAATAAAATGTATAAATCTATATTAATAGAACTAGAGCCATTGTGCATCAAGCAAGACGGGAAGTCAGTACCTATACTTTATTAATATAGATTTAAAAAAAAAAACATAAATATTCATATTTAGTTACGACATTGTAATGTATACATAAAGTATGATAACTAAATAGGCAGGTATGTACTAAAGACATATGTTATAGTATTATATTATATTTTTATTAATGTACCTACCTATTACATTTTATTTTATATTCTATACTATTCTATATTAGGAACAAAAATGCTCTAACAGCATACAAAAAAATACCATACAGGCCAACAATCAAATAATCATTATTAACAGTTTTTTTTTTTTAAATTCATGTTCTAATGATACATTTTACGAATAAACAAGGTGTTAAAGTATGTTTTCATTTGTTTTTATATTACAATGACTTTTATATGTCACATAACTTTAATGAAAGATTATAATCATGTGTATTAAAATTTTGAATGTTATTGGTGGTATGAATCTATGAAATCTGCAAATATCAATACCTATACCTACCTAGTATATTAAGTGGCCCCCATACACAATCAATATTATTGTCAATATAATATTGACAATTTAAATTGACATATGCGTCAAGTACTTCAATCTTGCAATAGCAAGAATAGCTATCAATACTCATTCGGTCCTAGGGAATTATTGACAGTAAACGTTCCTAGACGTTCAATGTGTACTGCAATCATGCCCGTCAATATGCGTCAATCAAAATTTCTATCAATCTCCCTCAATTATTGACAATCCACATCAATATGCTGCTAAACGATCAATGCTTGTTTCAATATATGGTTCCGTCAATATTATTGAAGCGAATATTGCCAATAATATTGATCGTGTAGGGGCCATCACTTATCCTATTCCAGGAAATAGTACATTATGGTAGAATATATTATAGAAATATAGGAAGCAAAACAAACTATATCCATAAATCAGATCAAAACGTACTATTTGTTGGAAATAGGAAGTTATATGATGCAATTCAGTAATTTAAATTATGAATTACTACCTACATTAAAATAAAATTTAAACAATAAATGCCCGAATAAATGATATCATAAAATAAAATATAAGTGAATTTTTATGATTTTTTTTTATGTTTTTACAATATTGCCATGAGTTTCTAGTGCCTAATCATCAGAATAGAAAATCGTGACTTCTGAAAAAAAGTGTAAAATAGAAATAGTACGTTTTGAAATGTCGCCATTTAAAAATGCTAAACTTGATTTATTCCTTTGATTTGATCAAACCACCGATAGAAAATGTTATTTTATATCAACGTAGGTAAAATGTACTTATAATTATTATTTTAATAGGTACTTACGTGTTACGATTTATAGTACACGAGTCTGTATAATAAATAATAATCACTATTTGCAGTACACTATAAAAAAAAAAATAAAACTACTTTACTGCGGCTACTGCACTGTTGAAGTGTCGAACTCGCCGATCGCACGAACACCGATGCCGACGGCGGTCGTCGAGGAAATATTGTAGGAAAACCGGACTTTAACTAAAAATAACATATTGACAACGGTAATAGTAAATACATTTAAACAAATATGACACGGTAATTCTATAACACTGTGGCATACTGGCATTTGCCATCTTTACACCAGTACACGGAAAAAACTCGGTAGGTGAAGGCACCTCAATACACCTAGTGCACAGTGTTATATTGACACTGCAGCATCATATATTAACGCAAACATAATTTAAAATGGTCTATTTAATAATAGATTATATTATATGGTCGTTGTGTGCACGGTTATACTTATCGTGCATTTTGAACTGTTTGCACCTTTGAACTTTGTAGGAACCCATTTTTTATAATTATTTAATTATTTGCACCATTATACCGATCATGCACCATATAAGTTTTTTAAGACACTCGAACTCTGTGTTAGCACCGTGTTATATGCACGGTGCAAGATAACCGACCCTGATCCTAGAAAATGTTACCCGGGAGCCGACACGAAACAAGAAGTAATTAAAATACGCGACGGCTTGATTGTGGTTATGAACAGCGCCGGTCTAAAGTTACGAAAATGGTCATCAAACGACGCGAGTTTAATAACATCAAGTCTACCTAGCGAAGATATAGAAATATCAAATAAACACGAACTTAATTATTCTGTAAAAAAGGTATTAGGTTTATTCTGGGACGCTTCGTCAGATATATTAAAATATAACGTGCGTGAGAATAAAAAGGTAGATGGGATGTCGGTTACCAAACGCGAAATGCTGTCCGATATAGCTGCGATCTTCGACCCGCTGGGTTTAGTCGGCCCATTAATAGTGCGAGCAAAATTAATATTACAATCGTTATGGCGTGAAAAGATTGATTGGGACGAACCCGTTCCAGTGCACATACGCGAACAATGGTTTGAGTATCGAACACAACTATCCGCGTTAAACAGGTTATCAATAACACGGAAAATCACGAACAACTTAAAATCGTGTGTTATTGAGGTCCACGGGTTTTCGGACGCTAGTACATTGGCGTATGGATGTTGTTTATATTTAAGGTGTACAGACAACGCGAGCATTCATCATACTAATTTAATATGTGCAAAATCCAAAGTGGCGCCTTTAAAAACATTATCATTACCTCGGTTAGAGCTTTGTGCGGCACTATTATTAACACGTCTAGCGTATAAATTAATACCGAAATTACAACTAAAAATTAGTCAACAGTATTTTTGGACCGATTCGATGATAGTATTGGCATGGATCGCTTCACCTTCGACGAAATGGAGAACGTTTGTTGCACATCGAGTAGCTGAAATACAAAGCAAAACAACAATGGGCGAATGGAAACACGTTAGTACATGCGACAACCCGGCTGACGTGATATCTAGAGGTTGCTGTCCGTCTAAATTAATCAATTTAGATTTATGGTGGTCGGGTCCCAAGTGGTTGACTGAAGATAAATTAAATTGGACAGAAAGTTCAGACACTCACCGTAAATTAGACAATATTCCGGAAGGTAAAGAAAATATTATCAACGTTATGTGTGTCATTGATCACGATGATTTTATATTAAGCAAGTATGAATCATTGACTAAGTGTTTAAGGATAACCGCGTACTGCATACGGATTATAAATAACGTGCGTACGCGTAAGAATAATAATATTAAATTAACAGGTCTGCTACAACCAGAAGAGTTGGAAAAAGCAACTTTGAAATTAATAAAATATACGCAAAATATCGGTTTTGTTGACGAACTGCGGGAACTATCGAACGGTAAGGCTGTCTCGAACCACAGCAAACTTTTTCGTCTTCGACCATTTATCGATAGTGATGGCGTCATTCGCGTTGGCGGCAGATTGAAAAACGCCGCGACAATCGACATTTTTCAACGTCACCCCATCGCATTACCCGCGAACTGTTTATTTGCAAAAATGTTATTTAATGAACAGCACATGCTTCTAATGCACGGTGGACCACAGGCTTTATTATCAACTATTCGGTTAAAATACTGGCCAATTAACGGTAGAAATTTAGCGCGTAATACGGTTCACAAATGCATAAAATGTTTCCGTAATAAACCTATTTTCGTGCAACCTATTATGGGCGACTTGCCCAGTGACCGCGTGCAACCAGGACGTGCATTTTTAAAATGTGGCATAGATTTCGCCGGTCCGTTTTTAATGAAATCTAGTTCGTTACGTAAATCACCGATTATA